CATGGCCTCTACGGCCCCGTAGAAGCACTCCTCCACCGATCCTGGGGCGATTACGGGGAGACTCACGTCGCCGTGCGCCGGATGCATCGCCGCAACAGGTCGGACTGCTCCGTCTTCGTGGGAAGACCCGTGGCCGGGCCGCCGCGCTGCACGTCGCACACCACAATCGGAATCTCGGCCATCCAAGCGAACCCCAGCCCCTCGCTCATCAGCGAAAAGCCCGGTCCCGCCGTGGCGGTCATTGCCTTCTTGCCAGCGTAACCGGCTCCGACTAACGCGTTGATCGCCTCGATCTCCGAGGACACCTGGTAAGCGGTCTTCTCGTCGCCGCTCAGCCACTGCTCCATCCACACGAGGATCGTCGTCGCGGGCGAGATCGGATAGCCCACATAGAAGTTGAGTCCCGCGTGTACGGCCCCGAGGCAGATCGCCTCGTTGCCGTTCAGGAATATCTGGTCGTAGTCCGGCTTGTTTGGCGGGGCAAGCTCCCCCAGGCTGAAGCCACTCTTCACCGCCTCTTCGCGTCCGAGAGTAAGTCCGTGGATGTTCTGCGGCACCGTCTTCTCGCCGTACCGCTCTACGTTCCCCCAGCGCTGCCTGACGAACTCTTCCAGATCTTTTTTTTTTTTTATGACTGCGCATGTTCATCAGACGGCAAGCATCTACGACGACCATGTCGCCAGCCCTCGGGTTGCCGGATCGACCGGCCAGCTGATCGACGGACTGCCGAGGCACATCGATTCCGTTGTCCTCCCATGCAACGTCTCGAGTCATACACACGTACTCGCTCTCTAGCGACCTCATCTTTGTGGGCGTCGTACGCGTGTTCGTTGAACGCTACCAATACGTCGAGTTGGTCGCCTCGGCTGAGGATCGGCTCGGTCGATATCCGGACCTGGAACCTACGATCTGCCGCCCGTCGTATCGGGAAGGGAACGTCGCGAAAGTCTGCGCGTAGTATCCCGCCTGCACATTCGCCGACGCGAAAAGACCCTCGGCGACCGACAGCAGTCCCTGTCCACCCTCACCGGCGATTCGTATCCTAAAGTCTGTCGTCTGCAACTCGTGTCCCCTTCAGACGGCCCTCACCCGCATCAATACGTTCGCGAATGAGGCGAAACCAGCAAAAACCCCGCGCATCGGTCTGTGCCGCGGGGCGTGGATTACGTACAGGATGGAGTCCTATAACTCATACCGATTTCAAGGGAATTCTACATGAACGGTCCCGCCAGTGTCAACGGAATCTTCCATTGGGGAACGACGCGGCGCGGGTGCTGTCCTCTCGGTCGGGCTCCGACACATCGGGTTTCCCGTCGATTCCCTTCGGCCTATTGATGGCCGCTTCGTTGGCAATGCTAGCCCCGAACAGGAAGATCATGCCGCCCAGGAACCCCCAGATCAACACGATCACGACGGACGAAAACGGCAGATAGATGAGGTTCTGTTGTCCTGAAATGTTGGCGAACCAGAAGAACAGGTGCTTGCCAATTTCGAACAGGACCACCGCGACAATCGCGCCAAATGTCGCGTCCCGCCAGTCCACGTGCGTGTTCGGCAGGGCCCGATAGACGACTCCGAATGCTATCGTGGTCATGACTACGGCAGTACTCCCGACACTATTCCGTAACTATGATGACCACGCGGTTGATCGGCCACCCGACGAGCGGCACCGCCTCACCAACGCTCGATGCTATCTGAAATACAACCGTCAGCCCTATCGAGGTGAGGAACATCATCATGATGCCGAAGGCTACGAGAACCTGCAGCAGCGTCGTGGTAACAACCCTGCGAGGCTGTGCCCCAAGATACGGTTGACCGAGCGGTTCGCGGCCATCAGCAGCCCGTTCGCTCCAATTAGAATGCCGATGATGGCTACGACCCCGGCCGTGAAACGCGAGCTAAACAGATGATCGATAGAATCGTTGAAGAACTCCCCGATGCAGGGAAGAAAAAGAGAAATACGTGGGCAACTTCCGTCTTAATGGTCACCGGATCGGCGAACGCCGAGAAGATCAGGATGATGAGCGCGATGAGAGGGAAGAATGACAGCAGCGTGAAGAACGCCAGCGACGCGGCAAGGTCGATTCCCCCGATCCTGAATAGCGCCCATCCCGCACGCCAAAGCGCGTTGATCCTCCACGCCAGCGGCCCCTGTGGGTGATATATGGCTATGCGCTCGGCGAGGTCTTGCACGAGCGGAGCCGTAGCCGGACCTACGTGTACTCTCGGGGCCTCCAACATCACCGCTATCGCGCGCCGTACCTCTTCTCCCACCTCCTCGCTCACCTCATACGCGCTGTCGATCGCCCCCTCGGCTGACCTGCCTACGTACCTGACCGTGTAGACGTGATCGACGTTCTGTACTTCCAACGCGCCTTCCACCACGCTCTGGGCCACGTACGCCAAATGGGCGGCGTCGCCCGACACTTGGTCGATAAGGAGCTTGGCGGTATCTCGCGCGGCCTGAGGCACGTCCCCGCCGGTGGCGGAGACACCGGTAATAACCCCGACAATGGCCGCCTTGGCTGCGCTGCCAACGTCAACGCCGGACTCGGTGATGGCTTCAAACGCGCTGTGCGAAGCCTCGGAGACCGCTTCGCCCGGTTCCATACCGACGAAGACCGCGCCCTCGATGGCCCCCTCCACCGCGTCCGTCCCCGCGGTCCGAACGTCGATGCCCATTTCGATCGACCCGCGGATCGCCCCCTCCACGGTTTCGCGGATCATTGGCGTCGTCGTCTTGGAAGACCCAAAGGTGCCCTGCACGACACCCAATACGGCATCCCTCGCGATGCCGCTAGCCTCGCCGCCAATCGCCGACAGCACGCCGGCCGCACCGCGAACGGCTTCACGGGCCACCTGGCCTGCCCGTCTGCCTTCTCCGTTCGTGCGAAGCGCAAGCTGGGACGCGGCCCGGACTCGTTCATTCCAAAGGCCGCTCCTCCGTTCATCGCTCGGCGCCGGACCGATGAGCAGTGTGCGGACTTGTCGCCCTATCCTTCCCAGTTTCATTATCGAGAACCCTATCTCCGTGGTCCTCGCCAACCGGCCGTCGCTTGCCGTGTCGGCATTCCTGAGTCGTGTGGGCCTGCCTGAGTCAAGCTATCGTATATATCAGAGGTGTGCATATCATGGCAATCGCTATCAAGCCGTGCAGCCTTACCCCCGCTTCCAATTCGTGCCGACTCCGCTGCCCATTGGTCCGGCCACTCTTCATACCCAATGAGATAACCGCCAATCCCTAATTCGTCATACCGGCGACTGTCCGTTTCCGGACGGCTGGACGTTGAGGTTCGATGACGTAGCTGCCAATTCAGTAACGTTGCCCCGCCTGATAAGTTATACGAAAGTCTGCTTGGGAGGGATTCAGGAGTCGGCCATTCGTATGCACCGGTACCACGCCGACTTGATATACGACTCACAAAAGCGGGAATTCAGCGAGGAAGTAGGGGGAAAGTAGTAAGCGCGATCGGAAGCCTACAAGCGGTCGCTGCGATTCCTGGCGGGAGCGAAGATAGAGTCTTCCGGGAACTCCGAGACAACCTTACGCTTGCGGGCCAGCAGCCCACGCCCGCCCAAAATCGTCAGCATGGCCGCGCCGCTCCCCAGGCCGGCAATGGCACCCTTCAGAAACCCTCTCCGGGAAACTCCTCCAGCCTCTTCGGATCGTTTATCCATGCCGGTCCTTTGCTCCATAGGAATTCCACCCCACATTATAGAGCAGCCAGCCCCGCAATTGGAAGTCCGGCTGCTCCTGCGCAGTCCCTCGCCCACTTTACCTCGCCCCGCAAAACAAGATACCCTTTGTCCCCAACGGAGGTCTGGATGAGCACCGAAGAGCAGCCGCAACAGCCCCAACAGCCGCAGGAACCGGAAGTCCCCGAAGACGCCATCGAGGTAGCGCAAGTCCAATATGCTTGGATTTGGTCCTCTTGGTGGCTACTCGCCATTGTCCTCCTTCTCTTTGTCTTCAGCGTCTTCCCCGACCCCTTCACTCCCGCGGTTCTCGCCGTTGTTATCCTCATACCGAAATACTGGCAGTGGCGGCGGACCAGGTACTACCTTACCGAAGACGCGCTCATCTACCAGCGTGGCGGCATCCTGCAGACCCGCCGCTTCCTGATCCCCTTTAAGCGACTGAAGGAAACTCGCGCCAGGTTCGGTATGTTCGGCAGGGCACTGGGATTCCAACACGTCGATATCATACTCGACAACGGCGCCCTCGCCACCCTCGTCTACGTCCCCGCCCAAATGGACGTCGCCGACTACTTCCAAAAGCGCATGAAAGGCGGCGGTACATCCGAAGACCCGCCTGAAGAGGGTGCCGCTGACGAAGCCGATCCGGGCGAAGAGAAGAGCTAGCGGCCACCATGGCGAGACCCCAATCGTAATGCAACACTCCACCGCCGTGTTCAAACTCATACACGCCGGCACACTCGTCGACGGACGAGGCGGCCCATCCGTCGCCTCCGGCGCGGTTCTCGTCCAGGGAACGAATATCGTCGCCGTCGGCAGGCAGGGTGAAGTGACCGCGCCCGACGGCGCCACAGTGGAGACCCTCGACTACCCCGACAAGACCCTGATGCCCGGCATGGTCGACGCGCATACCCACCACGTGGGCTTCGGCGACGGGCGGGTCGGCGACGAGGTCGCCACCTACCCCGACGAAATCCTGACCGTCCAGGCCGCTAGGAACGCCCGCAAGGCCCTCTTCTCCGGCGTCACCACGATTCGTGAGAACGGCCCGAAGAACATGACCATGTTCCGTCTCCGCGACGCCGTAAACGACGGACTGACCGTCGGCCCTCGAATGCACCTGTGCGGACGCCCCGTATCCATCATCGGCGGCCACATGGGCTACTTCGGCTCCGAGGTGACCGGCCCGAACGAGGCCCGCGCCATGACGCGGCAGCTCATCAAGGAGGGCGCCGACTACATCAAGATCACCGCGACCGGCGGCAGCACTGCCAGCTCATTCACGCTGCGCCCGTCCATTCAACGTCGACGAGCTGCTCGCCATCACCGACGAGGCCCACAAGTTCGGCAACCCACCGCCGCGCACTGCCTGTCCACGCAGGGCATCGCCAACTCCTCGAAGCCGACGTGGACATGATTATCCACTGCGTCTTCAAACGCTCGGACGGCACGACCGCTTCGACGAAGCGGTTGCCGAACGTATCGTCGGCAGGCGCTTACGTAAATCCCACCCTCCATGTGTTCCGCGCCCGCTTTGGACGCTCCAGCACCGCAAGGAGCGCGAGGATTTACTGCGCAGAGCAGGCCGAGCTCGACGAAGAGCGCCGCGAGTTCGACGTGCGTATCGACCACTGCCGCCGCTCATCGAGATGGGCGCGAAGGTCATCACCGGCTCCGACTCGTCATGGGCAACTACATGCTCGGCAACACCGCCTACGAGACCGAGTGCCTCGTCATGTCCGGCTACTCCAACGAGCAGGGCGTCTACTCGGTCACTGGCGACTCCGCCCGCTCCCTCGACATGGCCGATAAGGTGGGCACCCTCGAACCCGGCAAAGAGGCCGACCTCATAATCCTCGACGGCGACCCGACGACCGACATCCGCAACCTGTGGAATGTGGGGGACGTATTCCTCGCCGGAAAGCGCGTCGAACGAGGGTCGTCCGAGTCCATAGCCGCCATCCGCCAACAGCCGCCGCAAGACCCCCTCTGAACGCTCTCAAACGAAGGCACGGACGTAGTAAGAGGTCTCTGGAGCGGGCGAGGGGATTCGAACCCCCGACTTTCTGCTTGGGAAGCAGACACTCTGCCACTGAGTTACGCCCGCCCACATTCCGATTCTATCAACCCACCCGGCCTTGCACAACCTCGCCACCTATCATTGAGCCTGTACCAGTTTAGTCGGTCGGGTGGTTGAGTCGGAGCTATACTCACGCCCTGGGTCATGGACTCCCGCCTTCGCGGGAGTGACGAGTGGGATGTAAGGCCATCCTCAAGAACTGACCTACCGACCAAACTGATACAGGCTCCCTCACTCGAAAGACGTTTGCCACCTATTCCCCCAACGCTCTACAATAGCGCTCCAACGACCCTACCCCGAAAAGGCACGCCATGCAGCTCGACGAATCGCAGATCGAAGAGTTCGATAGCCGCGGCTACCTGTTCTTCCCCAACCTTCTTGACGCCGATGAGGTCGCCGTCCTACAACGGGCGGTGCCGGAGATACTGAGTCGAGAGGGCCCCGAGGTAGTCCGTGAGCGCGACGACGAATCGACGGCCCGTCTCGCCTTCGGCGCGCACGTATACTCCGAGCCGTTCAAGCGTCTCCTCACCCTCCCGCGACTGCTCGGACCCGTCCGCCAGCTGCTCCGCGACGACGTCTACCTGCACCAGAGCAGGCTCAACCCCAAGCCCGGCTTCGGCAAGGGCGGCGGATGGGACTGGCACCAGGACTACCCGCCCTGGCATCTCATTGACGGGATGCCGAAGGCCGACTGCATCATGGCGTCCGTCTACGTCGACGACTGCAACCGCCGTCACCTCGCGCTCTTGGTCGTGCCCGGCTCCCAGCGTCACGGACTCCTCGACTCCCGGCTCACGAGGACGCGAAGGGCAGGGGATACGCGCTTCACACATATCGACAGCGAAGCTCCTCGAACCCTCGCCGATGAGAGCGGGATCGAGCCGCTCATTGGATGGCCGGCTCAGTCGCCCTTGTGCACTGCAACGTCGTTCACCGGCTCGGCAACAACGTCTCTGTCTCTCCGTGGCGACGCGCCATCATGTACCTGAACTACAACGCCGTCGGCACGCTGCACCGGCACTGAGCGACCCTGGTACCAAAACAACCGCGACTGTTCACCCCGCTCCAACCGACCGACGACGACAGCCTCAGGGCACTGGCATAGGAAGGTATCCAAAAAGAAATCCTTTCGGCCGATTGCTTGGTAGAGCCTGGGTCACGCTTTCGAATCTGCGCCCTGTCGTAGTACACGTGTATGCGGTGCGGTCTCTCTCATGAGCCAAGGAAGACATCGCATCCGAGCCGAGATCGTCTCTGGTAACAAGTGGCATTGTCGATTCCGCAACTGACGAGCGCGGATGAGGCAACTCCCTGATAACATCAAGGGCGTGAGGGGCGCGGAACCGTTGGTAAGCTCGGGGTGATCGACATGAAATTTGAGGGGCTTACAATTCCGACGATGGCTCTTGCGGCCGTCGTTCTCTTGGTGGGAGCGGTGGCGGCGCTTTTGGTTGCCAGGGCTGCCTTAGCTTCCGAACCTCCGATTGAACCCACCCCCACCGCTGTTGCCCAACGCCCTGCCGATCCCTCCCCGACGCCGACGCCCAGGCCCACGCCGACGCCCACACCGGTCCCCCCTACGGCAACGCCGGTTCCGCCCAAGGCCTTGCCCATGGAACCTTCCCCGTTGCCGGACAGGTCGCAGAAACTGTCGGAATCACCTACGGATCCTCCCACAAAGTTATCCCGTTCCGCATTGGATGGTTCTCCCGGACAGGGGACGGTCTACACCTATAAGGACGGCGACAGGACATTTAGGGTCGTCCTACAGGACGATTTGATCCTTCAGGAAGCCGCCGCCATAACGCCGGATGACGTGGTAATTGTGAAGGGGTCCGGAGACAGCATCGTTGAAAAACAGGCCAAACACGGCCAGGACACTCAACCGGTGTTCCGTTCAGAGTGGGGAGGCGGCCTGATGACGCTGCCCGGCGGCATCCTGCTCGCCTTGGACTCTGGTTGGGACAATACCAAGGTTCAGAGCTTCTTCTCCGAGAACAACATCTCCACAGACCGGGTATCGGAGCTGGAGTTTATTCCAAACGGCTTCTTTGTCGAGACCGAGCCGGGCTTCCCATCACTGGAGTTGGCCAATTCGCTGGCGGCCCAGGACGGCGTTGTCATATCCAGCCCCAACTGGTGGAGGGAATTAGAGGCCCAGTGAAGACTACGCCATTCTGAAGGCGGCGGTCTCGGCCGGAATTGCCATGCCTTTGATTCCGACACATAATGATTCCCTATTGCCGTCTCTGGCGAGGATGGTCCTCGTTCTTGCCTTCGTATCCTTTTCTCTTGTCGTGAGCACGGGTGGGGTCGGAGGACAATCTGTCGAGGACGACCACGGTAAACACGTTCGATACCGCTACAACATTGTCATTGGGGGCGTCAGAAGAGGGACGCATCGATCCAATCAACGACATAGATATGTTCAAGCTGGACCTGTCCGGCGAGTCCGAGCCGACCACCGTCCGGATATACACTACTGGAGACCTCGATTCTGTCGGTCGGTTGTTCGATAGTGATGGCTCTATCCTCGCCTCCAACGATGACTACGATGGCTACAACTTTCAGATCGTAGAGACTCTCCCAAGCGGGATCTACTACGTCTCGGTCCAAAGCTACTTTAATTCGGAGACAGGAGACTATGCGCTCCACGCTGAAGAAGTGCCGCCTGATGACCATGCCAACTCAACCGACGGAGCCACGCCTATAAACTTGGGGTCTTCGGTGACCGGAAGTATCGATCCGGGTTACGACGTGGATATGTTCAAGTTGGACTTGTCTGACGCATCCGAGCCTACCCCTGTCTGGTTATACACCTCTGGGAACCTCTATACATCTGGTCAGTTGTACGACAGTGAAGGCTCTGCCCTTCAAGGCAACCAGTTCTATGACGGCCAGAACTTTCAGATCGTAGAGACCCTCGCAAGTGGGATCTACTATGTCTCAGTCGAAAGCTCTTACAGTTCGACAGTTGGGGACTACACGCTTCACGCTGAGGAAGCGCCGCCCGATGACCATGCCAACACAACCGACGGTGCCACGCCTATAGCGTTGGGTTCTTCGGTAACCGGGACGCATCTTTCCGGGCCTCGACGTAGATATGTTCAAGCTGGACCTGTCCGGCGCCTCCGAGTTGACCACCGTTCGGCTATACACCACAGGGTACCTTGCAACCCTTGGACAGCTGTATGACAGTGATGGTTCAACTCTTAGCTCTAACGCTTACCACCGCGACGGCAACTTTCAAATTGTAGAGACTCTCCCAAGCGGGATCTACTATGTCTCAGTCGAAGGCTACTACTATTCGAGAATTGGGGATTACACACTGCACGCTGAGGAAGTGCCGCCCGATGACCATGCCAACACTACCGACGGAGCCACGCCTATAACTCTGGGGTCTTCGGTAACCGGAAGCATCGATCCGGATTTCGACGTAGATATGTTCAAGCTGGACCTGTCCGGCGAATCCGAGCCGATCACCGTCCGGTTATACACCTCCGGAAACCTCAATACCGTTGGTCGGTTGTTCGACAATGATGGCTCTCTCCTTCAATACAACGACTACTACTACGGCCAGAACTTCCAGATCGTAGAGACTCTCCCAAGCGGGATCTACTATGTCTCAGTCGAAACCCGGTCTTACTATTCGTCAGTTGGGGACTACACGCTTCTCGCCGAGGAAGTGCCGCCCGATGACCATGCCAACAGAACCGACGGAGCCACTCCCTTTAACCTTCGGATCCTCGGTAACCGGAAGCATCGACCCCGATTTTGATAAAGATTTCTTCAAAGTGGACCTATCCGACGCGTCTGAATCCACAGACGTCTCGATATACACGACAGGCGACCTCAATACCGTTGGAGTCTTGTACGACAGCAACGACGGTCAGCTTGCATACAACGATAACACCTATACAGGGGACAGCTATAACCAGAACTTTAATCTCCGAGCGACTCTCCCAAGCGGAATCTACTACGTGGAAGTCACAAGCTATGGTCTGGTAACTGGAGACTACACACTGCACGCCGAGGTCGTACCGGATCAAGGCGATACCATCGAAACGGCAACGGACCTGAGTCTCGATTCTCCGACTCTGGGAACGATTGACACGTCCGAGGACGCGGACTATTTCAAGTTCGACTTTACCGAGCTAAAGAATCTGATCATCACTGTGTCAACCCTGGGTTACAGCCGTCTTGATGTTACCGCGTTGGACTCCGAGGGCAATGAAGTCTCTCTGAATGTCTTTCCCTTGGATTACAGCTATGGTTTTCTAATTCAGGATGACTTCGGTCCTGACACTAACTACCTCAAAGTGACCTCACCTTATACCTATCGCCCCGCGCATTACACCATCCAAGCGGTCGAAGATGTCGCCTACACCGAGTATATAGAAGGGTGCGAAGCAGAGACTCGTTCCTCAAATAACGAAGACATTAGCGATCCGATGTATGCATGCCAGTGGCATCAGAACAGTCTTCACGAGGGGGATTCAACATCGAGTCCGTTTGGAAGGAGGACATCAAGGGAGAAGGCGTAAACGTCGCCGTGGTCGATGACGGGATGTACTACGCACACGAGGACCTGAAAGACAACGTCGATACATCCCTGAATCACGACTACACCGGCAACGGGGACATATACCGCCCATACGAACACCACGGCACCCGCGTTTCCGGGCTCATTGCGGCCCGGGACAACGACGTTGGAGTGCGTGGCGTGGCCCCGAGAGCGACGATCTACGGCTACAACCTCTTGGCAAACCCAAATGACTTGAACGAAGCCGATGCCATGGCCCGCAATGCGTCGGTAACCGCAGTGTCCAGCAACAGCTGGGGGTATGTTGGTTACTCTTGGCTCTCCCCGGTTCCCTCGATCTGGGAGTTGGCGATCGATGCAGGGATCACGAGCGGTTACAACGGCAAAGGCACGTTTTATGTCTTTGCCGCCGGCAATGGACACTTGGGAGGAGACAACTCGAACTTTAGCGAATTAATCAACTACTATGGGGTGACCGCCGTATGCGCGGTGAATGACCACGACGTAAGAAGCGACTTCTCGGAAATGGGCGCCAACCTGTGGGTCTGTGCCCCCTCGAACGACTCAAGTGATGAGCACCGGGACATACTCACCACGGAAAACTCGGATCGCTACTATGAAGAATTTGGCGGGACGTCTGCGGCCACACCCATTGTTGCAGGCGTAGCGGCACTGCTGCGCGGCGTCAATTCCGATCTGACATGGCGGGACCTGAAGCTCATACTCGCAGGGTCCGCACGAAAGAACGACATCGAAAATTCCGGCTGGGAAGATGGAGCTTCCAAGTACGGAATGGCCCCTGACACTGAGTTCTATCACTTCAACCACGAGTACGGTTTCGGCGTGGTCGACGCCGCGGCTGCCGTCGATCTGGCAAAAGAATGGAGTATCGTCCCGCAACTGCAGAGCTCGACTGTGGAGTCAGATGAGCTAAACCTGGAAATTCCCGACCCACCGGACAGTGGCGACCCCACGGCGGTCACAACCGCACTCACATTGGAGACGACGGTCGATTTCATCGAGTTCGTCGAAGTCAACCTCGACTTCCAGCAAGGGGATTTGCGCGACTGGGATGTCGAGTTGGTATCTCCTTCCGGGGCCGTCTCAACGCTGGTCCCTCATTTAGATCCGTATGACTACTATGCGTCTGCCGACTCTAGCGACGTGGGCCCCTCGCACTTTTATTACTATCCCACTGACTACGAGTTCCGCTTCGGGTCCGCGAGGCATCTGGGCGAGGATGCCGATGGCGAGTGGCAGTTGCGGATCACCGACCATGACACGTACAACCCGGAACGCTTGAATCGTGGAGCCTCACCGTCTATGGGCACGAACGTACTCCCGGCCCTCCCCTTGTGGACTGGGTCACTCCCGGCGCCGATTCGCTGACCGTCGGCTGGACAGCTCCCAGCCAGACCGGTGGACTGTCGTTTACCGGCTATGATGTGCGACATATTCAGACCGACGCCGACGAGGCGGTCGAGTCCAACTGGACCGTGCTGGAAGATGCATGGAATGCTTCAACGGGCGGCGATTTGGAATACACCGTCGCCGGGCTGTCCGACGGGGTGCAATACGACCTGCAGGTGCGGGCGGTCAACACGGCCGGCAAGGGCTTTTGGTCTAGGACAATCACTGCAACGGCGACGCAAAGCCTCTGCTCCACGGACGGCGCGGTGGAGGATGCGGCCAACCACCCGGGACTGGTGTCCGACTGCGAAGCGCTGCTGGCCGGGCGCGACACATTGGCAGGGAGCGGGGCGCTGAACTGGTCGGCGGATACTCCCATCACGGAGTGGGACGGTATCCCGTCATTGGAGAGTCAGCGCGTGACTCGGTTATATCTACAGAGCAAGCAGTTGAGTGGTAGTGTACCGCCTGAATTCGGTGCTGTTACCAACCTTCAGTGGCTGTATCTCTATGGCAATGACTTGTCCAGTGAGATACCGGCCGAGTTAGGCAGGCTGACAAGACTGCAACGGCTGTTCCTCTATGACAACGGTTTGAGCGGTCCGATTCCGGGAGAGTTAGGGAGTATATACGACCTTCAGTGGTTATCTCTCTATGGCAACGACTTGACCGGTGAGATACCGCCTGAGCTAGCCAAGTTGGGCAGCGCGTCCAAGCTGGAGCGGCTATTCCTCCAAGACAACGATCTGAGCGAAGAGATACCGGAAGAGTTGGGCAGTCTGACAAGCCTTACTCACCTGCTACTCCGCGGCAATAACCTGGGCGGGGAGATACCACATGAGCTGGGCAACCTTCCCAACCTGAAGTGGCTGTACCTATCAGGTAACACGTTCACGGGATGCATACCCGAACGACTGCGGGTTCTGGAACTCCATGATCTCGACGATCTTGACATTTCATTCTGCGATTTCGATGCGCTGGCCGCGATCTACGACTCAGCGGAG